GGGCAGGGCGCATTCAATTGCAGCGCAGTGAAAAGGCCTCATCTGCCACGAACACATGGGGCTGGGGTCCTCTGTGGTCAGCTCCAGGTATGCACTGGTCAGGAGGCAGGTCGAGTGTGCCCTCGCGCAGAGCCTCACCAAAGGCAGAGTTGGCCATGATGCCTCCATCGCTGGATCTGCCGTACCCTCCCACATCAATCACCCTGAACCTGTACTGGGCATCCACTACAGCCAGGAGCACAAGGGAATGGTGCCCCTTGTAATTAAAAAACATGGACCCAGAGTTGGGGGGTGCCTTCACAGCCACATGCTTCCCATCAATGGCCCCACAGCACAGAGGGAAGTTCCATCGGACCTCAAAGTCCTGCGCTATGGACCTCCACTCCTCTGCTCCAGGCACAGCTATGAACTCCTCCACGAGGCAGTCCCAGATGGCTGCCACCACATCTGGGATGAGCATGGAGACGGTGGATATGCCCACTCTGAAGCTCCCCGCAATGGTCCTGTAGGAGTCCCCAGTGGCAAGAAACCTGCAATAACAAAATGATATGAACATATTTATCACAATTACATTCATAAAAATCACGTGACAAAACTTGTGTAGCATAAAATACGTTAAACTAGTAGACAGTAAACATCATAGACAGTAATCATAGACACCATATTGTTGCATAATACTGTTTTCTGAGCTATTACATTGTGGATTGTGATTGAAAAATGACACACTTTGTAAGTATTTATGAATTCTGAATGGGGTAAAAAACACTAACCGCAGACAGATGGACAGGCGCTCTTCAGCTGGAATAGAGCGCCTGTAGTTGGTGTCCTGGTAGGAGATCCTAGCGCCAATGCGGGTCAGTAGGTCGTCAAACTGAGCCAGGGAGAGACGAAAGTACCGCTGAAAGCGACCCTCATCCGAGCGCAGCTCCTGGAGCAAATGGTGAAACTCACCAAACTCCAACCGTCTACGGACTATCTGATGAATCCAGACACGTCGTCGATTCGCCCTTTGACGACGTTGTCTGGCTTTATTTATCAGATAAAGCAACTCCTTCGCTGACATCCATGTTGGGAAGCTACAGGCAAAAGAGACAAGCCCCGCCCCTAAACGCTCTCAACGCTCTGTGACAGCGGCTGCCCTCTAGTGTCCTGGCCGCGCGGCCAAGTTTCTCTGTGACAGCGGCTGCCACAATTTGTCACAAGCGGCTCAAGCCGCGCGATAGACGCGATTTGGCCGCAGAAATCGCGTTTGGTCTGAACGCACCATTAAGCTTGTATCTATGGTCAGACATAATAGTACATGGTGTCAGAAGTCAAGAATCCCGTCTCAGGCAGAGATCAGAAGACTACGTCGGTGTGCAGTAGCAGTTTTGCCGCGAGTGAAGCTACCTTCGGGAAAATAAGCTAACGGCGCGCAGAAAAAAAAAAAAAAGACGTCCAGAGGACAGCGCGAGAATGATGGATTCCCTATTTTCAATAGACCCACCTGAAAACTATGACTTCAGCGACTACTCTGCATGGCCCAACTGGATCCGCCGTTTCGAAAGGTTTCGTGTGGCGGCGGAACTGGATGGCAAGGATGAAAGCTATCAAGTAAACTCTCTTGTGTACACCATGGGCGATAAAGCAGATGATATTTTGAGTACGCTGGGGTTGAGTCAGGATGAGCTTAAGAAGTACTGATGCGGAGTAGTATTGTAATTAAACAAGAGTTGGGAAAGATATTGTGGCCAGTGGCGCTTCTGATCAGCCGAAAGGGTTCGAAGAAGATCATGCAAAGTCCGGTTAAAACGTTCGCACTGCCCGTTCCCCTGCGGGTGGTAGGGCGTAGTCCTGGACTTTTTAATGCCATACAAATCACAAAGTTGATATATGATGGCGTTCTCAAAACTGCGGCCTTGGTCTGAATGCAACCTCGCTGGGACTCCAAACTTGTAAAACCAGTGCAGTGATTGACTAGAACACCAGCAACGGTGGCGGCACGCTGGTCCCGGGTAGGAACAACCTGGGTAAACTTTGAGAAAATGTCTGTCATCACTAGCACTTGTTCTCTGCCATCCTGAGCTGGTTCTAAAAACGAAAAATCAATTGCCAGGACTTCATTTGGGCCAGAGGCCAATAGATGACCCATTGGAGCGCGTACCCGTGGCACTGTGCTCTTGGCCAGACAGCATCGTTCACACTGCAGGCACCAGTCACGGATTGTTGACCGCATACCAGGCCAGTAGCATCTCTGCCGTACCAGTTCAGTTGTGCGCTCAATACCCTGGTGACCGTGATGTGTATGCAACTGCTCAAAGACTTCTGCGCGAAGGCTCTCTGGCAACACCAGCTGTAGGACCTCCTCCCCTCCATCTGATCGTTGATAAGCCCGGTACAATAGTCCGTCTCTGGTGCGCAGCCGGTCCCACTGGCGTAGTAACTCTTGCAACGCAGGACCCTTGTCTTGTCGCTCGGTCAGGCTTGGCATTCGTTGCTGCTTAACATAGGGAAGCACAAGAGAGATAAGAGGATCTGCTTGCTGTATGATTACCAAGTCACCGGGAGTTCGTTCCGGCAATGCAGAGATGGCGGATTGAGCAGCCACCCTTTCTGGCCGTACTGCCTTGTCGATTTCCCCTGGGATTAGTGTACCTGGACGAGATGAAACTGGGGGGTGTGTTAGAGGTTGCCTGGAGAGGGCGTCTGCGTTCTGGTTGGTGCGGCCAGGGCGATACTTCACCACATAGTCAAAGACGGCCAGCTCTGCCACCCAGCGCTGCTCCGTAGCCCCCAGCTTGGCCGTTCCCAGATGACTGAGGGGGTTATTGTCAGTCCACACTACACATTTGTTACTCAGCAGGTACTCACGGAATTTCTCTGACATCGCCCACTTCATGCCAAGAAACTCCAGTTTCATAGAGCTGTAGTTCTTTTCGGCTGGGAGTAGGCTGCGGCTGGCATATGCAATGGGACGGGTCTTGCCATCTTGTTCCTGGGACAGAACAGCTCCTAGGCCTTCATGGCTGGCATCCACTTCTAAGATAAAAGGAAGGTTAAAATTTGCATATGCTAGCACCGGAGAGGACACCAACCTTGCTTTAAGCTCTCCAAAGCTGGAGTCACACTGTGGGGTCCACGCATCATTCAGGGACACACCTCGACCTCTGCGGTTTTTCTTGCCAGCCAGTTGTGCTACAACCCGGTGCAGGGGGGCCGCGAGCCTGGCAAAGCTTTCTACAAAACGCCTATAATAACTTGCAAACCCCAGAAACGAGCGGAGTTCGGCTACTGTGCTTGGGGTAGGCCATTTCTCCACAGCAGAAATTTTCTTTGGGTCCGTAGATACCCCAGCTGCCGACACGACATGTCCCAAGTACCCCACTTTGTTCTGGAAGAAACTACATTTGCCCAGTTTCACCTTGAGTGACTCTTTTTGGAGGCGACTGAGAACCAGCCTCAAGCGGTCAAGATGCTCCTCCACAGTGGATGAAAACACAATGACGTCATCTAAATATAGCAGCAGAGACTGGCAGTTCTGGTCCCCTAGCAGCCTCTCCATTAGCCGTTGAAAGGTACTAGGAGCATTGCAGAGACCAAATGGCATCCTCTGGAACTCAAACAGTCCAAATGGGGTGCAGAAGGCGGTCTTAGCTTTGTCTGCCTCAGTTACTGCCACTTGATGATAGCCGCTAGCTAAATCTATGGTGGAAAACCACTTTGCACCCGAGAGAGCATCTAAGGACTCTTCAATTCTAGGAAGTGGGAAAGCATCTTTCCTAGTTTTGTTGTTCAAGAGTCTATAGTCCACACATAGTCTTAAGCTGCCCTCTTTTTTCCGGACAAGCACGATCGGTGAAGCATAGGGGCTACAACTCTCCCGAATGACTTGGCTGTCCAACAATTGACGAATGTGTGCCCTAACTTCGTCATAATCAGATGGGGGTATGCGCCTGTATCTCTGCCTGATTGGGGCATCGTCGTTTAGTGGAATGTCATGGGTAATTAAGGAGGTGCAGCCTAGGTCCAAATCAGATGACGCAAAGACCTTTTCATGTTCAAGCAAGAGGGAGAATACACGTTGCCGGTCGGTATCAGTTAGTGACGCGAGGTCTAGTGATGCAATCTGGCCCCTAACAGAGTCAGATAAGACGGCCTGGGAATAGACTGTGGCCCCTGCACTATGTGGCTGTGTGAATGAGATTCCATCTGGCATGCTAATAACATCTGCTCGGCTTAGTGTTGCTATAGGGTGATGAGGGTATAGTGCAGTCCCTCTTTGCCCTACATTGACAACCGGAATGTAAACTGTACCTTTCTCGACCGTGACCATTGCAGGTGAGACCAACAAGCCTTCAGGGAGGGGTTGACCACTATCCACCGTTCGATCAAGACTGTACCTGTAGACTGACTAAAGTGAGCAGAGCATGTGGCAGCAATCAATTTCATTGAGCCCCCAGGAATAATGACAGGACGCCTACCTCGCACTCGAGCCACACTGCTCGTAGGTGGCAAATCTGTGGTCTCAGTGTAGTGGCAATGATACAAGGCCTGCTGCAATGCTACAGATGCCTGCTGTACTTCAGGAAGGTCAAAGAGGTTAGGGCCATGCTCACTGAACAACACTTGATAACATTTTTTTATTATGTTCATTCCCAACACTCCTCTTACCTCACCTGTCCCTGGGGGGTCCTTAACAACCAGAATACCCCGGTTCGGTACAACCTGGCCAAATACAGTCACGTCCATCTCAATAAAACCCACATAAGGGATGTCAAAGCCATTAGCTGCAGTCAGCTCCAGCCAGTTACAGGATTTAGGGGTGCCTTTAAAGTTCTGCCTAAAGAAACTCTCTGGCAAGGTGGTAACCATTGAGCCAGTGTCTAGGAGCAGCTTAGCAGTTACTCCCCCTAAGCTAACAGTTACCTCCGGACATGCTGCTATAAGGCGGTCAATTGGGCGATGTGGGCCTGGCCTTTGTATCTGTGAGCCGTTACCGTCCCCTTCTGATGTTTGGCTCCTTACACCAGAGGGTTGAAGTTTCCCGCCTCCTGAAGAGCAGAGGTAGTGGCCACATGCTGAGGCCGAGCCTGTGGAATGAACCGCTCATTATCACACTCCCGAGCAAAATGGCCGGGTTTTTGACAGCGGAGGCACAGTAGGGTGTTAGGTCGCCTGACTGGAGGTCGGGGGGCTGTCTGCAATGCCAACAACCCCTGGGTCAGTTGATTTAACTGTTCCTGTTGCTTTTCTAGAAGCTGTCGCAGCTCTGTGAACTCAGAGTTTGCCGTTAGGCTAGGTGGGCGGGCCCTGGAATAATGAACAGCGCTGAAGGATGGGACTGAAAAGCTCCTACCCCGTGGCTCATCTGGTCTACCCTCTCGTTCCCACCTTATGGCCTCAGCTCTAACCTCTAACAGCGTGCACTCAGGCTTCTCCCTTACTAACCTTTTTAGTTCCCTGCGCAGGTTAGGATCTAGGACGTGCTCAACAAACTGGTCGCGCAAGAGGATGTGGGAGTCTGCCATTTTCCTGGGAGCACAACGCTCGACTTTCTCCATAAGACAACATAAGGCATGCGAAAACTCATGCAGTGACTCTCCCTCCTGTTGCTTTCTGGAAAAAAAACATTCTTGCAAGGACACATAGGAACGTACACAGCCATACAACTCCCGCAGAATAGACATAATTCTTTCTGGATCTTCCCTCTCTGTTCTTGTTCTGTACCTGATCTCATCTTTAGCCTCACCCTCCAAATGGTCAAATACAAAATATGCTTGATCTACAGTGGTCAGTCGTCTAGTCCTCAGTGTGGCCCTCATTTCTTCTATCCAGTCCTCTATGGGTATCCCAGAAGTCCCCCTGAAGAGCGGGCACTTGCGTTCTCTGGGAATATACAGCAGGCGTTCCATAGACTCCCCATTGCTGGAATGGACATTAGATAGGGGGGCTGGACAGTCATTGGAGCAACTCGGGACAGCTGCTCCAGAGTTCATATTGGAAGCGGCTAGCAGCCGTTCATTTTCAGACTGGAGCTGCTGGACCAAGTCTCTGAGCTCTTGTTCAGTGGCCATGATTGTTGTGGGGTGAGGAAAGTACAGGAGAACGGTAGGAGCCGTTGCCGTTGTGGAGGTCCAGCTGGCTTCCTCGATGACCAATGCAGTTCTATTTGGGTCTAATTGGACAAGCACAAAAAACAAAACAAAAATACAAAACATACAGAATAATCGCCCAAGTCAGTACAATCACTATTGCATCCCAGCCACACTGCCAGACAACGCCAATTGTGACCGCAGGGCCCTGGAATAATGGTGGGATGCAACAAGTAATTGACCAGACACAAATTATACAATTTTGAGCAATTTATTTGGCGAAATGAGACCTAAGAAATAGGAAAATATATGTTTTTATTTCATTGTATTAAATGTAATCATTAAAAATACCAATTATAAAATATGTGCTCCAATGCTAACCAGAAAGAAAGCAACACTCAGGGCTGGCCAGTAGCGGCCCTACACGATGGAGGACTAAGGGGCTGGAATAGAGCACTCACTACGCTCCGTGCCACACATTCATACACACACCAAATCAAGAAAAGAGGCAAACTGAAAATGTACAAGTGGTGAAGGGAGGTGCAAAATACCACGGCATTCAAAAGGAGTGATGGTGCAGCAGTGGGTAACTCTATCACCAAATCCCCCACCATGAGAAGCCACACCCGGACCAGACCCTGAGCAGAAAAAGACACAATGAGCACAAGTACCCAATCACAGGGTTTAATATATTAAAATGAACTAAGCACCAAACAAACACAGTAAATAAGTAAATTAAATAAAGAAACAACAAAAACAAAATTAAATGCCAATTAGACCCAAATAAAAACTGCAAGGCACTCAGCGCCTATAAGAACAAAAAAGAGTTAACACATGTAATAAATATTCCTCCTCTACTTGTAAACTGGCATTACCTAGTATGACTACAAGAGAGCGGCTACGTCATAGCAGGCCGCCTCCTTTACACACGCAGCAGTCTGAGCCAGCGTCTAAAACACAAAAAGGAGAACTGAGAATTCACTAAAAAAATGAGGAGCACAAACACACCTACCAGGCCTTCAGCAGTGAGAGGAATACCCGCCCCAGGGACCACGATTGGCGCAAGTGGCACAGGGATGTAGCGTCAGTACGGGTGTCTGCTGTGTGTTTATATATGAGTGCTAATGTAATGGAATGCGGAAGTCTACGTACCGGCTTGGGGGGGAATTCCCTCTACGGCGGCTCATTAGGGACAAACAACCCACCGGTTACACTTGTTATTGTAGTCCTTGTAGAGTCCTGCACGTAGGCCATATTGCTATCTAATACTAACAGGGCTTGAAAATCCAAAAAGAAACATCCTCTAAAAAGGCCATTTTTAATGAAAGAACAAGAGAAACTGAAGTAAGACACAAGAGCTATAAAAATAACCAGCATTTTGAGGCTACACAAATGTACTAATCACTGAGAAAAATGATTTTAAAGTGATTTGGAATGTTTTGAACAGTGTGATCGTTCAGTGATCTGTGCAGTGAGCTAAGCTACAAGCTACTCACTGCACAGAGGCTACCACCCGTAAACATGTGACACGCTCAGCCACTTCTGTCAACAGTAGTTTGGTAAGTACAAGATACTTTCAGTTAAACAAACTGCAGTCCATGCAATTTTAGTGATGAACACAACTGTCACATAAAGGTTAGAATTTAGATATTTATGGAACAATAGCCCAAAACACCAGCAACAAAACACAAGAAGGCCCTTTGCACTTTTAAACAAAATACATTGAGAAATGATAGCAATGAGCCGTTACAAATTAACATGTATTTCCTTAAACATGTTTTTTAACTGTTGTTTATAACTATCCATCCATCCATCCATCCATTTTCTTCCGCTTCATCCGTTGCCGGGTCGCGGGGGCAGCAGTCTAAGCAGAGACGCCCAGACTTCCCTATCCACACACACTTCCTCCAGCTCGTCCGGGGGGACTCCAAGGCGTTCCCAGGCCAGCTGAGAGACATAGTCCCTCCAGCGTGTCCTGGGTCTTCCCCGGGGCCTCCTCCCGGTGGGACATGCCCGGAACACCTCCCCAGGGAGGTGTCCAGGAGGCATCCGGAACAGATGCCCGAGCCACCTCAACTAGTTCCTCTAGACGTGGAGTAGCAGCGGTTCTACTCTGAGCTCCTCCCGTGTGACTGAGCTCCTCACCCTATCTCTAAGGGAGCGCTCAGCCACTCTGCGGAGGAAGCTCATTTCGACCGCTTGTATCCGCGATCTTGTTCTTTCGGTCATTACCCAAAGCTCATGACCATAGGTGAGGGAGGGAACGAAGATTGACCGGTAAATTGAGAGCTTTGCCTTTTGGCTCAGCTCCCTCTTTACCACAACGGTCCGATACAGCTCTGACTGCAGACGCTGCTCCCTCTTTACCACAACGGTTCGATACAGCGACCGCATCACTGCGCACGCTGCACCGATCCGCCTGTCAATCTCACGCTCCATCCTTCCCTCACTCGTGAACAAGACCCCGAGATACTTGAACTCCTCCACTTGAGGAAGGGCCTCTCCACCCACCCGGAGAGGGCAAGGCACCTTTTTCCGGTCGAGCACCATGGCCTCAGATTTGGAGGTGCTGATTCTCATCCCAGCCGCTTCACACTCGGCTGCAAACCGTCCCAGTGCATGTTGTAGGTCCTGGCTCGTTGGAGCCAACAGGACAACATCGTCTGCAAACAGCAGAGATGATATCCTGTGGTCCCCGAACCGGACCCCCTCCGACCCTTGGCTGCGCCTAGAAATTCTGTCCATGAATACAGTGAACAGAACCGGTGACAAAGGGCAGCCCTGGCGGAGGCCAACATGCACCGGGAACAGGTCTGACTTACTGCCGGCAATGCGCACGCAGCTCTGGCTCCGGTCATACAGGGACCGGACGGCCCTCAGCAGAGGACCCCGGACCCCGTACTCACGGAGGACCCCCCAAAGGACACCCCGGGGAACACGGTCGAACGCCTTCTCCAAATCCACAAAGCACATGTGGACAGGTTGGGCGAACTCCCATGAACCCTCGAGTATCCGATGGAGAGTGTAGAGCTGGTCCAGTGTTCCACGGCCGGGACAAAAAACCACACTGCTCCTCCTGAATCCGAGATTCGACCATCGGCCGTAACCTCCTCTCCAGTACCTCGGAGTAAACCTTACCAGGGAGGCTGAGGAGTGTGATCCCACAATAATTGGAACACACCCTCCGGTCCCCCTTCTTGTAGAGAGGGACCACCACCCCGGTCTGCCACTCCATTGGCACCGCCCCCGATCGCCACGCGATGTTGCAGAGACGTGTCAGCCAAGACAGTCCTACAACATCCAGAGACTTTAGATAGTCAGGACGGATCTCATCCACTCCCGGCGCCTTGCCACCAAGGAGGCTGCCAACCACCTTGGTGACCTCTGCCAGGGTGACAGAAGTATCCGCCCCAACATCCTCAGCCTCTGCCTCCGGAGCGGGGGACGTGACGGGGGGATTGAGGAGAACCTCAAAGTATTCCTTCCACCGTCCGACAATATCCCCGGTCGAGGTCAGCAGCTCACCCCCCGCACCGTACACGGTGTTGGCAAAGAACTGCTTCCCCCTCCTGAGGCGCCGGACAGTTTGCCAGAATCTCTTCGAGGCCGACCGATAGTCATGCTCCATGGACTCTCCGAATTCCTCCCAGTCCCGGGTTTTTGCCTCTGCAACAGCCCGGGCCGCGGCACGCTTGGCCTGCCGGTACTGGACAGCTGCCTCAGGAGTCCCCCGAACCATCATGGCTCGATAGGACTCCTTCTTCAGCCTGACGGCATCCCTTACTGCCGGTGGTTACACCGGGGTTCGGGGGTTGCCGCCGGGACCAGCACCAGAGACCTTGCGACCACAGCTACGAGCCGCCGCATCGGCGATAGAGGAAGAGAACATGGTCCACTCAGACTCAATATCCCCCTCCTCCGCCGGGACCTGGGAGAAGCTCTCCCGGAGGTGTGAGTTGAAAGTCCGTCTGACAGGGGGCTCAGCGAGACGTTCCCAGCAGACCCTCACTACACGCTTGGGTCTGCCAGGTCTGACCGGCTTCTTCCCCTGCCAGCGGATCCAACTCACGACCAGGTGGTGATCGGTTGACAGCTCCGCCCTTCTCTTTACCCGAGTGTCCGAAACACGCGGCCGAAGGTCAGATGATACGACAACAAAGTCGATCATCGACCTCCGGCCTAGGGTGTCCTGGTGCCACGTGCACTGGTGGACACCCTTGTGCTCAAACATGGTGTTCGTGATGGACAAACCGTGACTAGCACAGAAGTCCAACAACTGAACACCACTCGGGTTCAGATCAGGGGGGCCATTCTTCCCGATCACCCCTCTCCAAGTGTCACTGGCGCTTCCCACATGGGTGTTAAAGTCCCCCAGGAGAATGACGGAGTCCCCGGGCGGTGCACCGTCCAGTACCCCTCCCAAGGACTCCAAGAAGGCCGAGTACTCTGCACTGCTGTTAGGCCCGTAGGCCGTCACAACAGTGAGAGACTTGTCCCCCACCCGAAGGCGGAGGGACGCGACCCTCTCATTCACCGGGGAGAACTCCAACACGTGGCGGCTGAGATGGGGGGCAATGAGTATGGCCACCCCAGCTCGCCGCCTCTCCCCGCGAGAAACACCAGAAAAGTGGAGCGTCCAACCCCTCTCAAGGAGTTGGGTTCCAGAGCCCAAGCTGTGTGTGGAGGTGAGGCCGACTATCTCTAGTCGGTACCTCTCGACCTCCCCCACAAGCTCGGGCTCCTTCCCCCCCAGTGAGGTGACGTTCCACGTCCCAAGAGCCAGATGTTGGGTGTGCGGACTGGGTCGCCGAGGTCTCCGCCTTCGACTGCTGCCCAGTCCTCTCTGCACCGAGCCGCCACGGACCCCTCTGCGGGTGGTGGGCCCACAGGAGGGACTGCCCACGTCGTCCTTTCGGGCTGAGCCCGGTCGGGCCCCGTGGGCTAAGGCCCGGCCACCAGGCGCTCGCATTCGAGCCCCAACCCCAGGCCTGGCTCCAGGGTGGGGCCCCGGTTGCGCCATGCCGGGCGACGTCACGGTTCTTCTTTTCGTGCTGTCCATGTTGGCTTCTGACTGCTCTTCGTCTGACCTGTCACCTGAGACCTGTCTGCCATGGGAGACCCTACCAGGGGCATGAAGCCCCAGCCAGCATAGCTCCCAGGATCATCCGAGTACTCAAATTCCCCCACCACGTTAAGGTGGCAGTCCAGGGGGGGCTTATAACTATAGCCCAATAAACACGAAACACATGAATGACTCTATTTAAGCAAGAACACCCTCTGTGTGAGTTCAACTGTGTCTGACCAGTTTATGAACTATCAGCCTTAGCGTCAGTCACAGGGACTTTCTCTGGTATCACATCTGAAAACATGCAGCGTGCAGCAGCGTGCGTGTGTGCGTGTGTGTGTGTGCGTGTGTACGTGTGTGTGTGTGCGCGTGTGTGCGTGCGTGTGTGTGTGCGTGAGCGCCGTGACCAAGGCATGCGCACTAGCGTTCTGTCTTCCCACTTTGTCTTTGGCTGCGGGAAAATGCAGTAAAATACGAAGATCCGAAAAGTCCGTGAGATAATAGCTCTGGAGGAGGCTACTGCGCTAGCCACCCTCACGCTACTGAGAAATGTACTTAGATAGTAGCGTCACTGCTTTTATACGAGATAAAAACATGATTGCAGATGAATTTAACAGTTTCTTTGTGAATGTAGGAGCTGAACTTACAAAAAGAATCCCAAACAGTGAACAGAGAGAGGACTGATGGAGGTAAATCCCAGATCAATGCTCCTCACTCCCACCAATGAGGAGGAAGTCCTCGGCATTATCACTTCATATAAAAACAAACCTTCACCAGATTTACACAACATTGATATGAAACTTGTACGAATACAGCAAAGGAGATCATTAAACCACTCACACACATCTATCTTTTACACTCGGACACTTTCCAAATGAAAAATGTAAAAGTCATCACAATATTCAAATCTGGAAATATCAGCGTTCATGAAACGCATCCTCTTTGCCGCCGACACCGTCACATGTTCAGGACGTGGTTTGGAGCTGCTTCTGTCCCTCGTATCAGTGCAGATGAACAAAGTTATGCTTTTTGGAAACCGTAAGAGCAATATACCATTTAGATTAGTTATTGATGAAACCAACTGAACATGTTAAAGAAAATGTATTTTTAGGAGTCATAATAGACTAGAAACCTCACATAAGTTACGTAAGGATCAAAGTTTCAAAATGTGTTGGAATGTTGAGAAGATCAAGTCGTTTAATGAATACTAATGCTGTGTTATTATTGTATCGCTCATTCATTTTGTCTTATTTGAACTATTGTGTTGTGGGGAAGTGTTACAAATCTCACCTGCAGCCCTTAGTTGTGTTGCCAAAGAGAGCCCTGAGGATTGTGGGTAACGTCCAGTACAGATCCTTCTAATCCCTGTTCTTTGCAAATCAAGAAGTCAAACTGTACGACCTGAAGATGTTTAAAACTGCTCCGATAATGTTCAGGGCGTCTGTAAACTCTCTCAGAGACGCTCACCATCGGCACAAACCCAGAGGAAACCTAACCCTCCAGCCAAACCCTACAGTTAGAACAAGCCTAAAGTCAATGTGTTAGGATTTGGAACCAACTAACAGAAGGGTCGGGTACATGTCCAAACTGTAGAATATTCAAGAACTAGTTTAAAAAAAGGACTGTTGCAGAAATACTTGGAGGAGAGTGTGTGATGCCCTGGGCTTGTTCTGGTGCTGAGAGAGGGGTGTGGGGTCAGAGAGTGTTCTGGTGCTGAGAGAGGGGTGTGGGGTCAGAGAGTGTGTGAGGCCCTGGGCTGATTGGGCCAATGTGATTGTGTGTGTGTGTTGTGTGTGTCTGTTGGTGTGTATGTGTGTTGTGTGTATGTTTGTGCATATGGGTGTTTTGTGTGTATGGGTTTTTTGTGTGTATGTGTGTTGTGGGTGTATATGTTTTGTGTGTATGTTGGTGTGTATGTGTGTTGTGTGTATGTTGGTGTGTATGTGTGTTGTGTGTGTATGTTGGTGTGTATGTGTGTTGTGTTTGTTTGTGTGTATGTGAGTGTGTGTTGTGTGTGTCTGTTGGTGTGTATGTGTGTTGTGTGTATGTGTGTTGTGTGTATGTTTGTGCATATGGGTGTTTTGTGTGTATGTTGGTGTGTATGTGTGTTGTGTGTGTATGTGTTTTGTGTGTATGTTGGTGTGTATATGTGTTGTGTGTATGTTGGTGTGTATGTGTGTTGTGTGTGTACGGGTGTTTTGTGTGTTTGTGTGTTGCGTGTGTATGTTGGTGTGTATGTATGTTGTGTGTGTATGTTGGTGTGTTGTGTGTATGTTGGTGTGTATGTGTGTTGTGTGTGTTTGTTTGTGTGTATGTGAGTGTGTGTGTGTGTTGTGTGTATGTTTATGTGTGTGTCTGTTAGTGTGTGTGTGTGTGTGTGTTGTGTTTATGTGTGTGTGTGTTGTGTGTGTGTCTTTAGGTCCTGTCTGTATGAGTGCGGAGTGTAAAGAGGGGGATGTAAATATCTGGGCGTTTGCTTCAGTCTTTTCCAAACCTTGTTTATTGATTGGATTATTCTGTTATATTACGTTAATGATGGTCGAGGCCGGGCTGGTCGTATCACAGCCGACCCCTCTCACCCTGCACATGGACTATTCCAACCACTCCCCTCAGGCAGGAGGCTGCGGTCCATCAGGACTAGAACCTCCCGCCACAAGAACAGTTTCTTCCCCTCTGCTGTTGGACTCTTGAACACTTCTTAACCTGTCCCCGCCCTTTATAAAGTCACTTTACTGCCCATCATACGTCACTTTACTTCACTGTACTGCTGTCACCTTACATTGTGTGCACCATGTGCACCAATCTTTAAAACAGTATTTTTGTCATGAAAACATTGACAACAAATTCTGAAATCGTCCCTGCATGTGTGTTAAGGATGTATATGTATACTGTATTGTCCGATCAACGTTTAATGGTGTTGATTGATTGATATGTATTTGTTTATTGAGCGTGGCTAGCTCCGCTAGCTTCTCTACACAGACAAGTGTGCAGAAAAACTGCACAGTGTAGTGACAGGCGCTGAAGGCTTGTTGTACTTGCAAAGTAATGGCAGTATTTTACACACCTGAATTACAAACAGAGATTGTATTGGGGCTGCGGTCATTATTGGTTTGAGAGTTCTGTTTTCAAGAAAAAATGATCGGAAGAATTACATTCAAGTCAATGGAGTGTTCTACTGCTGTGAAGAGCTGTATAATAAATTATAATTAAATATTAGAATATATTCTAATGTTTAAATTAATACATTCGGACGCGAAACTAATGGTATTCTTTTACTTATATATTGTGTTAGCAGTGCGTTGCTTTAGTGCCATTTAATCAGTGAATGTAAGTAGTAGTAAGTAATCTTTATTTATATACCGCCTTTTCACTGCACATCAGAGTCTCAAAGCGGTTTACAATTGTTATTATTGGGAGCGGGGCCAGTACAGGAGGCACATGCCAGACCTATTGTACATATTTTTAGTGGTAGGGGAAACCGGAGCACCCGGAGGAAACCTATGCAAACACGGGGAGAACATGCAAACTCCACTCAGAAAGGCCCTGGTCCAACCGGGATTCGAACCCAGGACCTTCTTGCTGAGAGGCGAGAGTGCTATCCACTCAGCCACCGTGCCGCCCGTTGCAATGTTGCACAGCTTACAAGTTGCGCTAATGCTAATGTTAGCATACGTATCAGAACGAAAATAAAACTAGGTGGCTCTGTGTTATGAGAGCGTAGGGGAAATGAGAAGCCTGTGAGCGAGTTGGAGGCGGTGCTAAACATTCAAACATTGCAGAAACGGGTATAGCGCCTTTAAACCAATGTCTGTGATCAAGCCTACGCCCCTTTGACTCTGATTGGCCGAAAGGTAGACGCTTCAACTGTGACGAGGACCAGGACCTGAGACCAGAGACCTGGACCAAGACCAGAGACCAAGATCAGTACCAGGACCAGAGACCAGAGACCAGGACCAAGACCAGGACCAAGACTAGGACCAGGGCAAAGATCAAAGACCAGGACCAGGAGGAAGGAAGACCTGGAACGAGTCTAGACCGTGACAGGGACCGAGGACCAAGGCCCAGGAACAGGAACCAGGAACAGAACATGGACCTGGACCAGGATCAGAGACCTGGTCCTGGTCCAGATCAGGATCAGACCTGAGTTCCTGCAGGGGGCAGTGTGGGTCGTCCTGTAGAGCCTTCAGCAGCTCTGATGAACCTCCTGGATGGTTGTAGCTCAGGTCCAACTCTCTCAGATGGGAGGGGGCGGGGCTTAGAGCTGAGGCCAGAGCAGCCTCGCCCCTCTCTGAGATCAGACATCCAGACAGCCTAAAGACACACAGCGTTACACTCATGTGGACACAGAGGACACAGATGCATCATGGGAGTCTCACCTGAGAGTGTGCAGTCCACAGGGGGCGCTCTTCAGTCCAGAACACAGCAGCTCCACTCCTGAGTCCTGGAGGTCGTTGTTACTCAGATCCAGGTGTGTGAGACTGGAGGAGCTGAGGACTGAGGCCAGAGGACCACAGCTGTGAGGGGACAGTCCACACTCCCTCAACCTGAGGACAGAGACACATTAGAGACTAGACCCTCCACAGAAGACCTTCAACACAGTCTGGACTCACAGGGCTTTGGTGGAGGCTCTGACCACCGGCAGCAGACCCAGGAGAGCTGTCTCTGAGGCCCGGTATTTCCTCAGGTCAAAGTCCTGCAGGTCGGAGTCTGAGGACAGTAAGACGAAGGACAGAGTCGACCACTGAGCAGGAGATCTTAACCAGGAGAGTCTTCCTTCTCTCATGGTCTTCTGTATCTGCTGCACCAGACTGAGGTCGTTCAGCTCCATCAGACAGTGCAGCAGGTTCATGCTTCTCTCTGCAGACCGATCCTTTTCATCCAGCTTCTCTTTGATGTACTTTACTGTCTCCTGATTGGTCCTGATTGGCTCCTCTCTAAAGACCTGTGTGAAGACTCCGGAGTACACTGAGGCGGCTGCAGCGTCCAGCCCACACTCGCTCAGGTCACAGTCGTAGAAGATCAGGTTTCCTCTCTGCAGCTGCTCAAAGGCCAGTTTTCCCAGAGACGTCACCATCTCCCTGGTCTGTGGAGTCCAGTGAAGCTCCGCCCCTGATCCCTGCTGATACTTGATGTTGTGGACTTTGGCCTGCACCACCAGGAAGTGTGTGTACATCTGTGTGAGGGTCCGGGGCAGCTCTGGTTCCTCTGTTTGTTCCAGAAGCTTCTGTAGAACTGTGGAGAGGATCCAGCAGAAGACTGGGATGTGGCACATGATGTGGAGGCTGCGGACGCTCTTGATGTGGGAGATGATCGCTGTGGCCTGTCGCTCGTCTCTGAACCTCTTCCTGAAGTACTGCTCCTTCTGCGGGTCGGTGAAGCCTCGGACCTCTGTCACCATGGAGACGCACTCTGCAGGGATCTGATTGGCCGCCGCTGGGCGTGTGGTGATCCAGAGGCGAGCGGAGGGAAGCAGGCTTCCCCTGATGAGGTTCACCAGCAGCAGGTCCAGAGAGACGGACTCTGTGGGGTCTGAGAGGACACGAGAGCTGCTGAAGTCCAGAGGAAGTCTGCACTCGTCCAGACCGTCAAAGATGAGGAGCACCTGGAGGTCTTCAAAGCTGCAGAGACCTTTGGATGGACTGAAGAAGTGCTGTATGAGTCCCACCAGGCTGAAGCTTCTGTCCTTCACAACATTGAGCTCTCTGAAGGAGAAGGGGAACAGCAGCTGGAGGTCCTGATGAGCTCTGCCTTCAGCCCAGTCCAGACTAAACTTCTGAGTCAGCACAGTCTTCCCCACGCCGGCCACGCCCTTCGTCAGCAGCGCTCTGATTGGCTGTGGTGAGTGTGGGCGGGGCTTAAACATGTCTTCACAGGTGATGGTGGTCTCTGGAGCGGCTGGTCTCCTGGACGCGCTCTCCATCAGTCTGACCTCATGTTCCTGGTTGACCTCTGAGGCCCCGCCCTCTGTGATGTAGAGCTCTGTGTAGATCTGGGTCAGGGGGGCGGAGTCTCCTGCTTTAGCCACGCCCTCAAACACACGGCTGAACTTCTGCTGCAGCTGCTTCTTCAGTTCATCTCTACAAACTCCAACACTGCTTCCTGAATAAAGACAAACAGCTGTGACCATGTGACCACTGAACTGACCCCGCCTCCATTAGCGTTAGCCAAAGATGCTAAAAAACAAGGCTAACAGCTAACACCATTTCATTTGTTAGGCACGTAAAGCCAATGTACGGTTTGTAAAACAGATTGAGCCTGAAGTGCATCTGTTCACACTTATAAAATATAAATACTATTATAAGACAACGAGTGAATGTTGCTCATTCTGAGCTTTAAAATGAGGGAGAACATGTGGGCGGAGCTTAGGTTGGACTTGTGTTTGTGGCTGAGTCGGTAACTTCCACTGATCCAAAAGAATGGTCTGATATGGGTGAAATCTGGGCCCATTACCGATGTGTGGTGAATGTTCAGAGCCTGAGAGCCAGAAATGTGTGTGTCTCTAGTAAACACATGTTGTGTTGCTACAGACACAGAGAGTTCTTACTGCTCTGCAGGCGCTGGACCAGCTGCTCCTGCTTCATCCTCCTCAGGAAGTCCAGGGCGATGTTCAGAACCTCTCTGCTCTGCACCTCACTCTCAGAGCATTCTGGGTAATCTGAGGCCAGGAGCCTTTGGATCCTCTGCAGCTGCTCTTTGACAAAAGTCACCACGTCCTCCTGCAGACGCTGGAACAGAACAATAAAAGAGTTCACAGAGAGACGCTGAGGAGCAGCCAGAGAAGGCCACACAAGCTGCGGTGGTGGACACTCACCCTCAAGATGGCGTCCAGCGGCTCCTTTGGACCTGGATCCCTGTGAAACACACTCAGCATTTATTTAGTGTGCACAATAGAAGAACACAGACTCAAACAGGAGAGAAAAGGACTGTTTCTATAAAGAGCTTCTACACAGCACTAAACCTGGGACTCCCAGCTTCAGCACCAGAGACACCAGACATTTTGCCACAGATGAAGATCAGGACCACGGTCTTTGTTCTAGTAAGTAAGTCATCTTTATTTATATAGCACAGTTTTACAGACCAAGGTCACCCAAAGCTGACTTTGGTCTGTAAAACTGTCGGATGAAGGACGAGACACAGAACTGTGTTAACAACATGGGTTCAAGTCCCACCTCTGATCTTCAGGACCATCTTCTCTGAAGAGAGGAGGAAGGTTTCTGGACTCGTCACTTTTCACAGACACAGAGCTGGGAGCAGGTCCAGGTCCAGGTCTGGGTTTAGACCCGGGGCCAGATCCTCGTGGCTCCATGTTGTAGAGTCTGAATCTGAACAAGAGTCACTCACTTTGTTTATTATTTTTACGTCTGTTTGATTGAATGTGAGCAGAGAACACATCAGCCCCGTCCTCAAACAACTCCACTGGCTCCTGCTCCACACCTCCTCCAACACAAGGTCCTCCTCCTCACCTACAAGTCCTCCTCCTCACCTACAAGTCCTCCATAACCTGCTCCTTCTTACCTCACTGACCTCCTCCATCACTGACCTCCTCCTTCATCACTCACCTCCTCCTTCATCACTGACCTCCTCCATCACTGACCTCCTCCTTCATCACTGACCTCCTCCATCACTGACCTCCTCCTTCATCACTGACCTCCTCCATCACTGACCTCCTCCATCATCACTGACCTTCTCCATCATCACTGACCTCCTCCATCACTGACCTCCTCCTCCATCACTGACCTCCTCCTCCATCACTGACCTCCTCCATCACTGACCTCCTCCTCCTTCATATATTCTGTCTCATTCAGTCTTCCACATGAAGCCAATCCAGGCTCTGAAAGCGGCTCCAGAGAGAAGGCTTTGAAACCAGCGTCTGCAACTGTTCCATCTGATCCACAACAAAGACATTTATCTTTACTGCAGGGTCCTCCACTGCTCCAGCCTCAGGCCCTGAAGGAAACACATCCTCCACAGAGAAGTCCACATCTGTGAACAAGGACTCAGAAGCTTCTCTCTCCCTCAGTGTAAAGACCCGCTCCTGGTGTCTTCAGTAGATTCTACATTCATGCTGTTTATTTACAAAGTGCCACAGAACCACAGTCTTTGATGTAGGACGAGACACAGCACTGTCTTAACAACATGGGTTCAAGTCTCACCTCTGATCTTCAGGACCATCTTCTCTGAAGTTTGGAGGCTTGTCTTTGGACCGGTCACTTTTCAGAGACTGAGAGCTGGGAGCAGGTTCAGGTTCAGGTCCAGGTCCAGGTCTGGGTTTAGACCCGGGGCCAGATCCTCATGGGTCCATGTTGTAGAGTCTGAATCAGAACAAGAGTCACTCACTTTGTTTATCATTTTCTGGTCTGTTTTAACAGTTACTGAACGTGACTTTTGCTCTAATGGTTTTCCACACTTGTGTTCTTGTCCTACAGCTGCAGGATTCTGTCCAAATATCTAACTGCAGGTTTTCATACCAACATTCAGACTGTGCTGAGGTTTGTGATTGAAAGCAGGAGTTGGTTTTGACATCATGTGTGACGTCATGTGTGACGTCATGTGTGACATCGTGTGTGACATCATGTGTGACGTCATGTGTGACGTCATGTGTCGCAGCCTGCCACGCACCCTCGAACATTTCTAAAGCCTAGTGTATACTTGCGCCGCGTGGCTTACGTTAGCGGTTGCGGTGGACCTACGTAAGCACAATTGATGTTATACTGGCGCGTTCCCCTTACGGAGTTTTGAGGAGAATGTTGTAATCCCACAACAAACCACATGAGGGCGATCACACAGGAGCGGTCCCATTTACGCTGCTACTTTGTCCTCTTCAAAGCAACAATAGCAAACAAAGCTGTTTGAGCTCATTACACGTGTTTCTACTGTAGGTTTATGTGATAGTTTTATGGATTCATTATTTTATAAGTCATTTCAACTGTGAAGCTGTGAATAAAGACACAGTTCTGTTGGAAACGTAGTTATTATTGAATAGTTTTCAGCACAAACAGCAAAACAATAAAAGTGATAAATATCTGAGACAAACATGAACGATTTACGAGTGCAGGAGGAAAGCAACAAACGCAGCTACGATTCAAACAAGACAAGAACAGTTTAGAAGTTATATATATGTTAGATATAAGTTATATATATGTTAGATATATGTTATATATGTTATATATAAGTTAGATATAAGTTAGATATAAGTTAGATATGAGTTAGAGATGAGTTAGATATATGTTAGATATATGTTAGATATATGTTAGATATATGTTAGATATATGTTAAATATATGTTAGATATATGTTAGATATATGTTAGATATATGTTAGATATAAGTTAGATATGTTAGATATAAGTTAGATATATGTTAGATGTTAGATATATGTTAGATATGTTAGATATAAGTTAGATATATGTTAGATATATGTTAGATATGTTACATATATGTTAGATATAAGTTAGATATATGTTAGATATATGTTAGATATAAGTTAGATATATGTTAGATATATGTTAGATATATGTTAGATATGTTAGATATATGTTAGATATAAGTTAGATATATGTTAGATGTTATATATAAGTTAGATATATATTAAATATGTTAGATATGTTAGATATATGTTAGATATGTTAGATATATGTTAGATATAAGTTGGATATAAGTTATATATATGTTAGATATAAGTTAGATATAAGTTAGATATATGTTAGATATATGTTAGATATACGTTATATATAAGTTAGATATATGTTAGATATAAGTTAGATATATGTTAGATATGTTAGATATATGTTAGATATAAGTTAGATATAAGTTAGATATATGTTAGATATAAGTTAGATATATGTTAGATGTTAGATATATGTTAGATATAAGTTAGATATGAGGTTAGATATAAGTTAGATATAAGTTAGATATATGTTAGATATAAGTTAGATATGTTAGATATATGTTAGATATAAGTTAGATATTGTTAGATATAAGTTAGATATATGTTAGATATATGTTAGATATAAGTTAGATATTGTTAGATATATGTTAGATATAAGTTAGATATTGTTAGATATAAGTTAGATATATGTTAGATATATGTTAGATATGTTAGATATAAGTTAGATATGTTAGATATAAGTTAGATATATGTTAGATGTTAGATATATGTTAGATATATGTTAGATGTTAGATATATGTTAGATATAAGTTAGATATTGTTAGATATATGTTAGATATAAGTTAGATATTGTTAGATATAAGTTAGATATATGTTAGATATATGTTAGATATGTTAGATATAAGTTAGATATGTTAGATATAAGTTAGATATATGTTAGATGTTAGATATATGTTAGATATATGTTAGATGTTAGATATATGTTAGATATATGTTAGATATATGTTAGATATAAGTTAGATATAAGTTAGATATATGTTAGATAGATGTTAGATATAAGTTAGATATAAGTTAGATATATGTTAGATGTTAGATATAAGTTAGATATAAGTTATATATATATGTTAGATGTTAGATATAAGTTAGATATAAGTTATATATATATGTTAGATATGTTAGATATATGTTAGATATGTTAGATATAAGTTAGATATATGTTAGATGTTAGATATAAGTTAGATATATGTTAGATGTTAGATATAAGTTAGATATATGTTAGATATGTTAGATATAAGTTAGATAGATATAAGTTAGATATATGTTAGATATAAGTTAGATATAAGTTAGATATATGTTAGATATATGTTAGATATATGTTAGATATAAGTTAGATATATGTTAGATATAAGTTAGATATATGTTAGATATAAGTTATATATATATATATATATATATATATATATATATATATATATATATGGGGCGACAGTAGCTCAGTTGGTAGAGCATTGGCCTTAAGCCCAGAAGGTCGTGGGTTCAATTCCCACCTCTGCACCTTCTCCACCGACTCCCACTGATGACTGCTGTCGTTGTGTCCTTGGGCAAGACACTTAACCCCACTTTGCCCAAAGCCCCCACTGAAAGATCAAGGCTATGCTCACACTCAGAGAGCAGCCGTCCTCCTGTGGACTCACCACCTGCAGAGGGTCAGTGAGGGGCTGGTGCTATGAGACTTGGGTGGCATCTCTGACTGCCACCCCCCTGACCCAGAAATGGATTAAAGGGAAGAAAATGGATGGATGGATGGATATATATATATAAATCTGCCCCATAAATCTGCCATTTATGGGGAAAGTCCTTGAAAAAGTTGTCTACCAACAGCTAAATAGATTTCTTATAATCAACAACTCATTTGATATGTTTCAGTCCGGCTTTAGACCCCACCACAGCACTGAGACTGCTCTCGTTAAGGTTACAAATGATATCCGGCTGAACACTGACGCAGGCAAAGTCTCAATCCTAATCCTGTTAGATCTGAGTGCTGCCTTTGACACTGTCGACCATGAGATCCTCTTACAGAGACTAGAGGACTGGGTTGGCGTCGCTGGCACCGCCCTAAGTTGGTTTAGGTCTTACCTTGAAGACAGGAAGTACTTTGTGGAGATTGGAAACTGTGTCTCAGATCATATGGCCCTGACCTGTGGAGTACCACAGGGGTCGATCCTGGGACCTCTTCTGTTCAATCTCTACATGCTGCCGTTAGGTCAGTTAATACGCAGAAACAAAGTGTCCTATCACAACTATGCAGACGACACTCAGATCTATGTCTCACTGACTGCAGGAGAACATGGACCAGTGGACTCACTCCTTCACTGCATCCACAGATCAGTGAGTGGATGCAAAACAACTTCCTTCAGCTAAACGCAGACAAAACTGAAATGATTGTCTTTGGTCCCCAGAAACAAAGAGAGAGCGTCATCTGTCACCTACAGTCTCTCTCCCTAAAACCTTCAAACAAGGTCAGAAATCTAGGGGTAATACTGGACTCAGACTTAAATTTTAATAGCCACATCAAATCAGTAACATCAGCTTTTTTACCATCTAAAAAACATTGCCAGGATCAAAAACATAGTGTCTAAAGCAGACCTGGAGATTCTTATCCATGCATTTGTCTCCAGTAGGTTAGACTACTGCAATGGCCTGCTCACAGGTCTGTCCAAACAGGCTGTAAAACAGCTGCAGTACATTCAAAATGCAGCAGCTCGAGTCCTGACTAGAACCAGGAAGTACGACCAAATTAGTCCTGACTAGAACCAGGAAGTACGACCACATTAGTCCTGACTAGAACCAGGAAGTACGACCGCATTAGTCCTGACTAGAACCAGGAAGTACGACCGCATTAGTCCTGACTAGAACCAGGAAGTACGACCGCATTAGTCCTGACTAGAACCAGGAAGTACGACCACATTAGTCCTGACTAGAACCAGGAAGTACAACCACATTAGTCCTGACTAGAACCAGGAAGTACGACCACATTAGTCCCGACTAGAACCAGGAAGTACGACCACATTAGTCCAGTCCTCAGGTCTCTGCACTGGCTTCCTGTGGCTCAGAGAATAGACTTTAAAACAGCTCTGCTTGTTACAAGTCTCTCCATGGCCTCGCACCAAAATATATTAGTGACATGTTAGTACCATATGAACCAGCCCGGACTCTGAGGAGCACAGGGACTGGACTCCTGCTGGGACTCTGAGGAGCACAGGGACTGGCCTCCTGCTGGGACTCTGAGGAGCACAGGGACTGGTCTCCTGCTGGGACTCTGAGGAGCACAGGGACTGGACTCCTGCTGGGACTCTGAGGAGCACAGGGACTGGACTCCTGCTGGGACTCTGAGGAGCACAGGGACTGGACTCCTGCTGGGACTCTGAGGAGCACAGGGACTGGACTCCTGCTGGGACTCTGAGGAGCACAGGGACTGGACTCCTGCTGGGACTCTGAGGAGCACAGGGACTGGCCTCCTGCTGGGACTCTGAGGAGCACAGGGACTGGTCTCCTGCTGGGACTCTGAGGAGCACAGGGACTGGACTCCTGCTGGGACTCTGAGGAGCACAGGGACTGGACTCCTGCTGGGACTCTGAGGAGCACAGGGACTGGACTCCTGCTGGGACTCTGAGGAGCACAGGGACTGGACTCAGTGCCCAGAGTCAGAACTAAACATGGGGAGGCTGCTTTTCAGATTCATGCTGCTAAAATCTGGAACAGTCTTCCTGAAGATGTGAGACAGGCCTCCTCTCTGACAATGTTTAAAACCAGGTTAAAGACAGTTCTGTTTAGCTGTGCTA